TCTAACTTAGGAGCTAATAGAAATGTTGGATACTGAAATACGCACAGCGGAAACATGACTTCATGATCAATACAGAATTATTTAGAAATTGATATTTTTGAGTAGTTAATCACGATTAAGACCGCTAACACGGCAAAGAGAATTCTAAAAATTGAAGCTGCTTAGTGATATCTTTGCATCTATTCCGAATATATCTGCCTAGAGACTTTTAGCAGATGCATATCATGGTTTGGCATCAAAATCTTAGTTTTTTTGCACATGCTAATCCAATATCATGGATGTTCTAAATTTCAGAAGCTTTCTCTTGGTTTCTATTTGCGCAGACGCGGAGTAAGTGACGAGCAGGCAATACCAAAATTTGGGATGAATGAAAACATTATGGCGGTGACCCTACAAAAAATTAAGACAAATTAGCCTGCTTTAAGTAAAGTTAAATCACCATCAAGCTAGTAAAAAATGATTAGTGGAACACCCGGTTAGTTTTTCTCTGTTCTTTTTTCCGTCAACATTTGATTAAACTTGTTTGTAGAAAACTAAAGGTGAAACAAGTGGCTGAAAAAACGAAGTTTAATTTTCATGAGAGTGAAAAGTCTTGTCTTTGATAAAGTAACATTTAGCTACAAGATGAAGAAGAAAGGTGATTAATTTAGGATAAGACTGATTAGTATAGATAAAGCTAAAAGAGTGACCTAGAGCAGACATTGTATCGCTTTCATTGCTTTGAATCTGATTGGCAATATGGCCACTTTTAAACTTGTCGATTAGATTATGAATTATGACCTGTGTCCTAATCACTATCAGCCTCTGATCAGACGTACATAATTATGACTTTGGTATCGATCCTTGATCCGCTTGCTGCTGATTAAAACATTTTATCAACCTGAATGAAGTCACCATCTTAACAGTCTATTTTCAAAGTGCCTATACTCTTCTAGTTAGATCTTCGCCTTATATCGGTCACACTGTATATTTGTGTGTGTGTGTGTGTGTTTTTTTCACAATTAGTATCGTTTAACCTCTTTTGTCGATGATCCTGCCAACTTTAATTTTCTTGTACTTGCTAACAGAAAATTTTCAGTTGCATCTCCTTTTAAGCATATGCATGTTAAGATATAATACAATTAGAATTTACTATTCTCGTTGTTTTTCCTGCTTAATATGCTGCCTTATACAAGTTCCTACTATGACGGTTGGCAATCCAGATAGTTTGCCTATATCTTTGATAAATTACGTGCAAGTTATGCCATGGTTTCTTACCTGAACTCAATATATTGGTTATGAACTTATTGTAATTCCTCATAGTGTGTGGTTTCTGCAGATGTTGAAGTCCCGGTTGCTTGTGTCATACTCATATTTCTGTTTGCCCTTCAACATTACGGGACCCACAGAGTAGGGTTCTTGTTTGCACCAATTGTGATCACATGGCTTTTGTGCATCAGTTCCATTGGTGTATACAACATCTTCCATTGGAATCCCCATGTTTATCAAGCACTCTCTCCATACTACATGTACAAATTTTTGAAGAAGACCCGAAAGGGAGGTTGGATGTCCTTGGGCGGTATACTATTGTGTATGACAGGTACGAGAGTCTGTATAGTGAACTTTCTTTTCATGGATGCTTAGTTTACCTTCTCTGACATTATCTTGTTTATCTTTTGAAGGCTCGGAAGCTATGTTTGCTGATCTCGGACACTTTTCACAGACGTCAATCAAGGTTTCCAGACTGAATGGACTATATTTGGTTAATTAGAGATTTTCCATTGTATTAAGTAGCCCGTTGCATTTTATGTTGCAGATTGCTTTCACCTTTGTGGTTTACCCGTCACTGATTCTAGCATATATGGGACAAGCTGCATACCTTTCTAGGCATCATATCGTAGCAAGTGATTATCGGATTGGCTTCTATGAATCAGTTCCTGGTATGTGTCTACCAAACTTGCAGCAGTTATAACTTGTAAACTGTACGACTGAGCTAATTAGAATTCTCTCCTTTTCTCAGAGAAAATAAGATGGCCGGTTTTGGCAATAGCCATACTTGCTGCGGTGGTGGGAAGTCAAGCCATTATAACTGGAACTTTCTCGATAATCAAACAATGTTCTGCTTTGGGTTGCTTTCCAAGGGTCAAAATTATCCACACGTCTTCGAAAATACATGGTCAAATTTACATCCCCGAGATTAACTGGACTTTGATGTTGCTATGCTTGGCTGTTACCATTGGTTTTAGAGACACAAAATCCATGGGAAATGCATCAGGTACCATCCACATCAACCTTAACTTTTTGGTGCGTGCGTGTGCGTGTGCGTGTTAGCTTTTGTATAATGTATTTCTGTCTTACCTTCATATAGGTTTGGCCGTCATAACTGTCATGCTGGTAACTACCTGCCTTATGTCTCTAGTCATAGTCTTGTGCTGGCACAAAAGCCTCTTCTGGGCAGTTTGCTTTATATTATTCTTCGGCTCCCTTGAGGCACTCTACTTCTCAGCATCGCTCATAAAGTTTCGTGAAGGGGCTTGGGTCCCGGTTGCTCTTTCATTCATCTTCTTAATGGTTATGTATGTTTGGCAATACGGCACCATCAAGAAGTACGAGTTTGATGTCCAAAATAAAGTCTCCATCAACTGGCTCCTCAGTTTAGGTCCTACTCTAGGGATTGTTCGAGTCCGGGGAATTGGCCTTATACACACTGAGCTTGTCTCTGGGATCCCGGCTATTTTCTCTCACTTTGTTACCAACCTCCCTGCTTTCCACCAGGTTGTAGTTTTCCTCTGCATCAAATCCGTCCCAGTCCCACATGTCAGACCCGAGGAAAGATTCTTAGTGGGAAGAGTTGGTCCAAAGGAATACCGGCTATATAGATGCATAGCACGCTATGGTTACCGTGATGTTCACAAGGATGACATGGAATTCGAAAGAGATCTAGTTTGCAGTATTGCAGAGTTCATTCGGTCAGAGAGACCAGAATGCAATCTCAGTCCAGAACAACTGGAAGACGATGAGAAAATGACAGTTGTTGGAACTTCATCATCAAACTTAGATGGCATAAGAATGTCTGTAGACGAGGCAGATTTTTCCGAAATAGCAAGCACCTCGGAGTTGCAGGAGATAAGACCTACAGAAAGGGCAAAGAAGAGAGTGAGGTTTGTCGTTCCAGAAACCCCACGAATCGATAGGGAAGCAGTAGAGGAGCTGCAGGAACTGATGGAAGCAAGGGAGGCAGGAATGGCATTTATATTAGGCCACTCGTACGTGAAGGCGAAGAGAGGTTCAAGTTTTATGAAGAAAATAGTGATCAATTTCGGGTACGATTTCTTGAGGAGGAATTTTCGAGGGCCGAGTTATGCTTTGAGCATTCCTCATGCTTCTACTCTAGAGGTTGGGATGGTCTACCACGTATAATTCTGCGTATACGGTACAACTTGTACTCAAATGTACTCTACATCATGGCATTTTATGCTGCCCCTTACACTGTAAAAACTTGTAGAGCCGTTGGGCAATGCAGAGTGCTTCTGATGGTGCTGAGCATGCTTCCTCGGTAAATATATGCCAACGTCAATAAGAGAGTTGGGCCAAGTTTTGAGCTTGTTATTTGGGTTCAGTTTGTAAAGCTTTTAGCACATTATTCTTGATCAAATCATCATTTTTTTTTATTCGGGTGATATTCTGATATAATTTAAACTGGTAAGGAGGACGAGTCATGATTGTTGAAAGCCCTACTCCAAAAGAAACCTCGGGAGGACACGAGAGAGACTTATCTATACCGATATGCCATAGGTGATATTTAAGGTCAATTTATATTGTCATCGTGTTTTAATTTATTCACATAATAATATGCGATTGAATTTAGGTTACCGTTATAGTGACATTCCGTTTCTCTTGCAGGGATGCTTTTGTTGACCATTGAAAGAAAAACAAAGATTCAAAGAGGATTAAAAACATTCCTAAGGCCACGAGAGACCCCTTTTGTTTGTTAGCATATTACCAATGAGATCTAATAAGCACGTGATGAGAGGTGATGAGGGTTTAAGAAACAAAAAAGACAACAATAAACAAAGGTGGTGCTCTTTCAATTCATTCGATTAGACATCGACAAAAATAAACAAACGTGATGAGAGGTGATGCGTGGAACGAAAAAATAAGTATGTAAATAGCACTATTCTAAACAAAAACAACAAATATAGAACAAATAATTGAAGTAACTTGGAGAGTTGTAAATTGATTTTATTGTACAAGTGTCGTCACTCTTTGTTTGTAATTTACAGGCCTACAGCCTACAAGTCTGAAGACTGACGTCACAGTTTTTATGGACAATTTCTGTGAATGCTCCAAAACTGCACAACATCATCTGACGATGCTGTGCTTTGCCAGATTTAGAAAGGAGTATGAACAACCACACCCTTATAACGAAATGATGCCATTGCCCCTGGATGTCAGAGCACGATATAATGTCACGTGAAAAAGTTCAAACACATAATAATACTGAATTGACTTGAGATACTATCGTATAAACTTTTTTGTTGTAAGGCTGTCTGAACGAAGTAATTAGCACCCACTGTAATTAATTAACGATGGTTTGGTAAACACAAATTTAAAACCCAAAAAATGTAAAAACAGAGGATATGATTCCCTCCTCTTGGTTTTATTTCACAGCAGTGAGATCTCTCTCCCCTTAACCTTTTCTTTTCCTTAACATTGTGGTACCGTTTGGTACGTGGGATGGGACGGGATGGAACGGGACGAGCCGTTCCGTCCCATATTTGGTGCCCCTAAAAACTGTGGAACGGGTTGTCCTATGGGATGAAATTTAGCTGATTTTTCGTTCCACCTCTTTTCCCTGGAACGACCCGTTCCACATCTGTGGAACAAAAATTTATAACATTTTATTACAAAATTTCTCCTTATCTTTTTCAATATTTACATCATCCGTTCCATCCTGTTCCGTCCCGTCCCGTCCTGTTTCATCCCGTCCTGTCCCGTTCTGTCCCGTCTGCGTACCAAACGGTAGCAAAGAGCTTTATTGAGTTCACTGTTCAGTACTACCAAACCTTCCAAATTCTCTATACCCTGTTTGTCTCTTTCACCGTCTCTCTCTCTCCCCTCTTTTTATCTCTCTAGAAAGATTCACTCTCACTGATTAATTTGTAGAAAAAGTGACGGAACACTGTCTGTGGAGTCTCCTACTTAAGTGGATTTCCTACAAGCTCAGACCTTTCAAATCTTCAGGTGTGAGTGAGTGAGCATTCTTCTGCTCTTAGATGCTCAGCTCTGATCATCCAAAATAGCATCAATGGTGAGGAATTGGGTTGCATTGCTTCTGGTTTTTCTGCTTCTCTCTGGGGATTTCTCTTCAGGAGCATCTGCCACACCTCCTGCAAGTGAGTAAAGTTTCCGTCTTTATACCCCCACTCTGCTTCAAATTCCTCATTTGCTTCAGTTGGTAATCTTGTGATTTCACATATATGTATATGCGTATGTATATACAGAAATTGTAACTGGGGTTGTCTCCAATGTGGTTTCTGCTCTTGTCAAATGGCTCTGGTCGCTGAAATCCACCACAAAAACCAGTTCAGGTATTTCTGCGAACTCACATTTACCAATTTTTAAGCATGTTTGCAATTAGAGTGTTATTTTTGTTGTTAATGTGGTAATTAGAGAATGTTCTTTGCAATGGTGAGGTTTATGAGGTTAATGGGGTTCAATTTTTCAGCTGTTTCTAGCCGTTCGATGATCAAATTTGAAGGTGGATATACCGTGGATACGGTGTTCGATGGAAGTAAGCTTGGAATTGAACCACATTCAGTTGAATTATCCCCAAATGGAGAGCTTCTGGTTTTGGATTCCGAAAATAGTAACATCTACAAGATCTCAATGCCATTGTCTCGTTGTAAGCCGCTTTCGCTGCCTTAACTCTTGAATTGTACCATTATATCACTGCTCTAGTTGCTTGTTTTACTAATGTATATCCAAGGACCCAGTTAGGGAGATTCGAACTCTTGTGCATAGGCAATGTGGCTAGTAAGGCTACACCCACGTCAGTTTAACCCGAATAGTTAATTTTCTATTCGGGTTGATGTGCAAGACATTATAATTGTACTTAAAGCATTGTTTTTCTGATTCCTTACTTCAACTCTTGCCAAATTTCATTATTTATGAAAAGTACTGTTACTGCTTTTATATGCTTTTGTTTAGTGGAAGCCTGTACTTTCTGGTTAATCAATTGCTATCTTTTTGGAGACTTACTTTACTTTTCTTTTGGTTTGCGACCACGATTCTCTAATGACCAGTTAACCTTCTTGTTTACTCATGTTAATTTTTTTTTTAACCTAAGCTAGATTTGTGTACTTTAACACAGGAAACTTGGGTTCGTTGAATTTCATCTTGATTAATACCTTTAAGCTTGTTCAAGATAAAATCTTTATCATTTATCGGTTAATGATTCGTCATGCCACTTTTTCTTTTGTAATTTCATCTTTATTTGCATTTGTTAGTATAATCAGTCATTAAAACTATAAAAAATAATATCAATGAAATATGCAATCTACAGTCTTCAAATTATCACTTTCGTTGTAGAAGTAATTTCAGTTCAGTTCCTAGTTTAATGCTTGTTTGCTATCTGTTTGTATTTTGGTAGAACCTATCGTATTCTTTTACATGCCGAATGAACGATATGCAGATAGCCGACCCAAGTTGATTTCTGGATCACCTGAGGGATACTCAGGGCATGTGGACGGGAGGCCAAGAGATGCAAGAATGAACCACCCAAAAGGGCTGACTGTGGATGATAGAGGAAATATTTATATCGCAGACACAATGAATATGGCTATCAGGAAGATAACTGATGCCGGTAAGTCTCTGGATGTTTAAGGCATCATAGTGGTTAAGGAATCACCCTTTTCTTCTGTAATTCTTGTGTTAAACGTAATGGCACGAAAAACTTATTTCACCTCTGTATAGGGGTTACGACTATTGCTGGTGGAAAATGGGGCAGAGGAGGTGGTCATGTTGATGGTCCAAGTGAAGATGCAAAGTTTTCTAGTGATTTTGATGTGATATACGTCGGTAGCAGCTGCTCTCTTTTGGTTATTGACAGAGGAAACCAGGCAATTCGGGAGATCCAACTCCACTATGATGACTGTAACGACCACTATGATGGAACTTTCGGTTTAGGTATAACTAGAAAAGTATGGACTTTCAACAGTGTAATTTGCTTTAGGTGATGCAGCTCTTTAAAATCTGTTCTCGATCGTTGCAGGAATAGCAATGCTGATTGCAGCTGCATTCTTTGGCTACATGCTGGCACTGCTGCAGCGTAGGGTGCAAGCAATGTTTTCGTCAAATGATACAAGTTACTTACAGGATCAAAGAACTATACATAGGGCTGCAACAGTGGCACCATATCAGAGGCCTCCTAAATCCGTCAGGCCCCCTTTAATTCCAAATGAAGATGAACCTGAGAAACTAGATGACGGCTTCTTTGGTTCACTAGGGAAGATCGTCCTCAACACTGGCTTGTCTGTGTCTGAAATCTTTGGGGGAATATTTACGGGCTTTAGAAGTAAGCCCCGACAATATCACATTCAGCAGCAGTATCACCAAGCTAATAAGCATTCAAATGCTTGGCCCACGCAAGACAGCTATGTGGTTCCAGACGAAGACGAGCCTCCATCATTAGAAACGAGATCCTCAACCCCAAATAAAACCTACCCATACATGACCAAAGACCTGGAGAAGCCTCGCCATTCGAAGCAAAGTCAAGCTTACTATAATTCATGGGAGGGCGAATATCAGCAACAGCAACAACTTCTGACACAGCTGCAGCAGCAGCAACAACTTCAGACGCAGCTGCAGCAGCAACAACAACTTCAGATGCAGCTGCAGCAGCAGCATCATCACAGGCATTACTCAACAAACCCGACTACATACTACGAGGAGAGCAGCGAGACAAACGAGATTGTGTTTGGGGCAGTCCAAGAACAGGATGGACGGCGTGAAGCTGTGGTGATAAAGGCAGTAGACTATGGAGATTCTAGATATAACCACCACAACATTCGACAGCGTTTCAATTATATGGATTATAATTCCTCTGGTTACTGATTCCCATCAAAAGAACACAAGAATTTCATCCTTTATGTTATATTTCTTATTTTCTCGTGGAAATGTTAGCTTTCCGAGAGTTGTTTCTCAAGGAAATGTGAAAGTTTTATACCTCAGCTTAGGTCTGCATTTTCCTTTGTCTAGAGATCCAAAGAATCAAAGCCAGTGCCGGTTTGCAGATGTAGACTTAGGGCTGGTTTGATATTGCTGTGCTTTGAAAAAAAGCTGCTGTGAGAATAAGCGGCTGTGCTGTGAGAATAAGCGGCTGTGAAATAAAGCCAGTAGAGTGTTTGGTAAACTTTTTTGTGAAAGTGCTTTTGGAAAAAAAAGCAAGATGATAGTGTGTCTTTTCATTAAAGGAGCACTGTAGCTCCGTGTGCTTTGAAAAAACTGGCTTTTTTTCAAAGCAGCAAATAGCAGCTTCAGCTTTTCCTTTGATTTTCAGCTTATTCTCACAGCAGCTTCCAAAATAAGCCCTTTTTTTTCAGTTTACCAAACACAAAAATGAGCCTCAGCTTTTTTTCACAGTGGCTTTTTTTAAAATCACCTTAATCCCAAACGGGGCCTTAGTCATATTGGCTAGATCGGATGTGCTTTTCAGTAACGGATCTTGAACTATAGCTAACAAGCAGGCCCATGAAATATAATTCTCAGCTACCATATGGCTTATCATGTATTAAGTTCCAATGGTTTAGATTAATAGTTTCAACTTATTAAAACCAAAATACAATCCAAACATGTAAATTCGAAATATATAGCTTTAGTATTAGAATATTGAGCAAATTAAAAAATGATACTTTTATACACAATTGTATAAATTTGACTACCTAAACTAGGAAATTCAAACAGTGTAATTTCTTATTTTCTGACTACCACGTGCAATATCGTAATAACACGAGCTGTTTCTTTGAACCCTAAACACTGACATATGGAGCTTGGAGCTAGCACCACTTCATTTGTGTGCATGGAATATTAATGGCCGACGCCGGGGCTTGGACCAGAACTCTTGACTCCCCAGAGGGAAAGAACATCAGAAAAATAGTTAACAACGCCGCCTCCGCTCGGACTGGCGGCCTTCCTTGGATTGTGGTGCTCCCGGTGGCTGTGGGGGTGACGATGAACCTGGTGATGAACATGAGAACCATGCTCGTGAAGAGGACGGGCTTCCACGGCGGCAAAGAGCAAAACAAAGCTCACCACAAGTAGGGCAACAACGAAACGTTGGCGTGTGATGATTTCTCTGGCCATGATTACTGGAGAATATTGGAGTCACTGGGTTCTAATGAGTCGAATGATTTTGCTTGGAGTTATAAAATTGTGTAAAGTAGGGTTTGGTATTTATAGAGAGAGAAATACGGTAAGCTTGTTTTGTTTGACTAAAAAACGGAGGAATGTAATATAGTTTGAATTTTAGTGCCCGTTCAAACGCGTCTGAGAACTGGTTTCATGAGAGGAAGCATGAACAAAATTGAAACCCTAATGGAGAAAGATTCAAAGTTTGAAGAGGAAATTAAATTGAAAAATAGGACTGAATAACTAGCTGGATGTAGTATAATTTGAATACTTGTACCCAGTCATTCAGTCGTTCAAGTTTATCTAGGTTTGACCAATATTTTCTCTTAAGCATCATGGCCTAAATTTGTTTGAAATATGTATGCACACAGAAGAGTATTTGATTTAGTGCTAGTCATGCATGCATGCGTTAAATATTTGACTTGTTACAGATACAACTCTCACTAGTTAATTAATTTCGAGTAGATAATTAATTAGTTTTAGTTAAGGACTAGTTAAGCACCGAACCTGGTAGCGTAGACTTGTAACTACGTAGAGTATTAAAACGATTGATGGGTGATGAAGCCTTGGTCAAGCGAGATCATGGTGTTTGAAATTTATTCACTAATCTTGTAAAGTCACTTTAAGCACGCTCTAAGCCTCTCGCATTAGTAGGCCATCCTTACTAGCGGGGTAGCAAACAAGGGACTTAGTTAAACGCTCCAATACGTCGTTGATTAATATTAGGGTTCATGCTGTATATATGCGACTTCATGTTCATTCAAACATGTTCTATATAATCATTACATACAAGTAAAAATCTAAAAAAAAATTAAAACATGTTTATGATCTTATATATAGCAGTTGATCTATTCAGCAGGAAAATGCATACATAGCGAGGTACAACTTTTTTAAAAAGAGCTGATTTCCACACACATTTTTTAGATTTTTATGCACCGTTCTTTATTTTTGACCATTAGAGTAATTAAATAAAACGAAAACAACTAATATGATTAAACATGAGTGTGTCTGTTAAAAAAAGACGTGTGTATTTAGCATTTCCGTTACGTAAACAACTCAAAAGGATAAAATTGGACTTTTAAATTCTATGCTGCCAAACAAGCTTTGAATATTTTGCTTTGAGTGTTTATAATTTTGCGTTTGATTCGACTTATATCAATATATCCATCAATTTACTTTGGCCAAACCATATGAAATCATGCACGACTAAAGTTTCAACAGTTGAATTTTTTCATCTATATCTTTTAATTGATGAATTTCAAAAAAATGTGTTTTTATTCTGCCTGAAATAAGGTGTTATTGGTAAAGAAGATTAATATATAGGGACAAAAACCGCATTATATTTTTCTAAGTAAACGACGTTGATCCTACAAGTCAACAACTTGCTTCATCTTCAAGGCAGGAAAAAATAGGTGCTTACTTGTTGTTCAAGGAAAAAAAAACGACTAAATGTGCATTATGCTCAGTCAAACCCAGCTAGCTAGCCTACTTCTTTTGACAAAAAATTTATATATAAAAAATAAATAAATAAATAAGGACCTAAATGTACACGCATATTTCATTTTTCAAGATAGTACCCAAAAATCTGAAAAGAAAGAAGACCATGTTAGAATCACTAATAACTATTGACTGTGTCTTACAACGTTAGTTCATTCATGCTTGTTTGAAAGTTATTTTAAAATAATTAAAAATGCTTTTAGAGAAAATATTTTTGAGTTCTAAAAGTACTTGAAATGTTTCATTAAGTGTTTTTTCAGGATTCACTTGCATTTTTACGAATGATTGGTTTCAAAAACATTTTCATCAAAAGTGCTTTTAATCATTTTAAAAGCACTTCTAAATGAGTCCTCAATTTCTTTTTTTTATAAACAATAACGTTAGTGAGTTAAATTATTAATTGTTAGGGGGTAGGAGGATCTATGGGGATCAAACCCGAACCAAAGTTCATAAACATAATTGTTTTCTAGCACTCTAATAAAGCGTCATATGCGATTCATTTTATAGGTTTGGACAAGCCAATCTGTTTAATTAAACAAATGATAATAAAAAAATTCCCCCATAATTAACCCGGAATTGATAATATAAATTAAACATATGATTAATCAGAAACAGTCAATTCCCGCCAGTGACAGATAGAATTACGTAAACTACAACATTTCCAATATTACCCTCATCGCATCCAGTTATCATTGACCTGGCTCCCGCGCCACAGCGGACCCTCTTTGGTAAACTCACCAAATTCGACCGTTAAAACTTCGCTGGTTCTCCGATTAACACCTGGCAGCCGGTTCCCGGTGAAATACATTTCACCTCCAGCGAGAATTCCGTTACAAATCGACCTATATTTGTCTCCCTCAAACTCCTCGCTCCCGGATCAGAAAATCCAGAGAGCAATCGATCGAGAGAGGGCGTTAGGGTTTGCAGAAAGAGAGAGATTTAGGGATTTTACCCAAATCGAAAATCCTTAAATCTTTCTCCTTCTCCGCCCAATTTTCCCTCTGATTTCCGAGCCCTAATTTTCACCTAATTTTCCCAATTTTCGGTTTTGAATGGCATCAAAAATAGCGTACGATGCCGTTCCGAATCCGAAAACGGACTCCGCCGCGGAATCCGATGACGGTGAGGAATTGATGCTCGCGAGGAGAAGCGGGTGCTGTTTCTGGATCCCTTGCTTTGGATCCGAACCCTCCTCTCCCGACGGGTCGTGGGAGCGGATCCGTTCCACCGGCGACTACGAGGGTCTGTGGTGGAACCGCGGCTGGAAGAAGATCCGGGAGTGGTCGGAGCTCCTCGCGGGTCCCAAGTGGAAGACCTTCATCCGGCGGTTCAACAAAAACAACCCCAGGCGGTCCGTGAAATTCCAATACGACCCCATGAGTTACGCCCTCAACTTCGACGAAGGACCGGGGCAGAACGGTAATTTGAGTGATGATTATTTGTACAAGGATTTCTCGTGCCGGTACGCGTCAATTCCGGCGTCGGCCAAGTCGTCGATGGATTTGAGTAACGACTCACCCTCCTTGACGTGAGAGTCACGTGATGAGCGGATGTAGAGAGGGTGTGAAAGAAAGCAGAGGAAATTGATGGTGGGTGTTCGGTGCGCTGCGCGCTGGGTTGTGCGGGAGAGTTGACGGCGGAGGAGAATAGAGGAGCGCGGCGGCGTTTGATTATTTTGCTATTTAGGAAGCCGTGACTGTTGGTTAAATTGGAAAATGTACGATCAGATTTTTTTCATTGTTTCATTTGTTCATTTAATTAATAAATGGCAGGTCCTTCATGAAATATTGATTCCCGACTAAAATTTATATATTAGAGTCTCTGGTTGGAAGTGTGTATGTTGGTTCGGAAAGTTCTTCAATGCTTGTGCTACTACACAAAAACTTGCATGCAACTGAGACGTCGTGATGTCGGTCTCCAAGCTTACCGACATCATGGGCATTAACTTGACATTTCTGTTGTATGTAAGTTGTTTTTGTGGTACTGACTTGATTGTTGTCTTTTATGCCTCATTTGGTTTCTAAGATTGAAGTAGAACAGATAACTCATAAGATTCAAGGATAATAAAAGTAAAGGTAAATGGTCACTTAGTACTAAGGTTTAGTCGTATTTTTCTTCACTTGTCGCCAAAGGCGAATTCGAACCACATTATTACTAGCCTATTGTGAAGCTTAACTCATTCACCCACCACTTTAGTGTAGATAATATCGTTTATTAAAAAAAAAAAGGGGACCACATGGTGGCTTTGCCACGCCAGTCCACTCTTCCAGGTGCTAGGAAGACTCATAGAGGCATTTCAACATCCTCTGACTACCATCGTATGATTCATTAGCGCCATAAATCGAACTCAAAACGTGCCGTATAGAATACAGACCTAGAATTTGTTCCCAACTAGATCTTGAGAGGATTAGACATGCAAACAATTATTCATATAATCATCGTATTTTGAAGGGGATTTGGAATAATAGCTCTAACTTTCTTTAATAAGTACATCTTCTACCTTTAAGTTTTGAATACTTTCGATATTATCTACACTAAGGGTGGCCAAGTTGGCTAAGTTTCATAATAGGCTAGCTATAATAATTTGGTTCGAAGTCATCTTTGACGAAAATTGAACTTAAAACTTCTTATTTACAAATAAAGAAGAATACCACTAGACCTCTTCTACCTTTAAATTGACCACAATTACTTTATTTCTACCTTCGATGTACCTTAAATATGTCGGGTTATCCACCTTATCTAATCCTAATGGGGAAACGAGAGTTTAGACTTTTACTAGGGATTTGCTTTGCGTGCTTGTGTGTGGTGTTTTGACAAGGAAGGCATCCACAAAGCCACGAGCACGGGCAAGTTGCTTATCTCTTCTTTCCGCGTGTCATCCCTATCTCCATCATCACCACTTTTCTTATCTTCCTTTCCATCATTATATTTTCTCTCTTTCTCCAAGCACCAAACCAGTATTATTATCTTTTGTCAACGAGTAAATTGTAACTATGGTCCCTTAACTTTAACTCAATTTGAGCAATTGTCTCTCAACTAAAAATCCATTACCATTGGTCTCTCAACTCATCAAAACGTGCAGCTATTGTCCCTTAACTAAAAATCCATTACCATTGGTCCCTCAACTTTAATTAAACTGGAGAAATTGTCCCTTAACTTTAACCCAATTGTAGCAATGTTCTTTTCAACATAACTCGTTTTGACAAATTTTTTGATGTAGTTGACGAAAATGACCATAATTACACACTTTGATGAGTTAAGGGACCCTAATTATATCAATGGTTATTCCAACATAACTTATTTTGACAAAATTTTGACGAAATTGATGAAAATGACTATAGCTACACATTTTGATAAGTTGAGGGACCAATGGTAATAGATTTTTAGTTGAGAGGCCATTGCTCCAATTTGATTAAAGTTAAGGGATCATTGCTACAATTTACCCTTTGTCAACATTCATTCAGAGTCGAGTGATGAGTAGTATAGTGAGATGAAGATATACTTCCGGTTGGTGAAGACAAACTTCTGATTATCTCATGTGATGGTCCTTGATCAGATGACTGAGATACCGGCAAATCAACTTAGCTCGACATTTTTACAAACATCGACCCTTACTCAATTGGGCACCGAAACGCTATTGGTTATCAAGATTGCTCAATTGATCATTTAGAATTTGACTACCTTAGTTTTCCACAAAACGCTTTCAGCTCTCCTAAAAACACCGTCAAACGAGCACTAATTAACTTGTACCATACAATTGTACAAGGGGCAAGTCACAAATGTATATCGATTTTCAACGCACGAACTTAGCTATAGCGTATGTACAAGGGACAAATCCCTAATCTATCTTATCTTGCGATCTTCGTTGCGCGGACATCTCTATTGTACTTATCAAGGGGAATATGTGGACCCAAAAATACATAAAAGAGGCGTCTTCACACTTTTATTTATTCGTTGGTGCATTGGTGACAGTGTGATCCTTTTGACCCACAAAAAAAATCTGCATATTCCAATTTAATCCCAAAGTAAACACATAAAGTAGTACCATTCAAATTTGTTTCTTGAAACTACCAAATAACCAACCAGTGGTTGGTGATGAACTTTATGTTTGAATTTTACAGAATGCATTTTGAATTCAATTATTGACGTGTGTGAATTACACGATAATCATCAGAGAAGGACAAAATGCTTCTAGGTACCTTTTCGACTTCTGAAAAAGTAAACTACTGATCTTTAAAAAAACACAAAATCTATTTTTTGGTACAGCCTCTTTAATTTTTTTTTTTTTTTTGTAACAATATTCTTAGTAGTTAGGAGTCAGTTCAGTTGACAACTCTTCTCCCAAAACAAAATCACCGTTTATAGTTAATTATTATTATTATTTTTTTATATCTTGTTTGAGTTAGTACAAAATACAATGTGGAAACCTCAACTTTTTTGCTTGTTATTTTAGCACAAATTTTTGAAAATTATGAGGGGAATTTTGATTTCAACATGGCCACATGGGAATGGACAAGGATTGTCTTCCCTCCACTTCCGGTGTCCTCTTCGTGCCCTCTTGTTTTGTGTGATCATGGTTAAGTCATGTTAATATTTTATATTATTTTTTTTATAGATATAATAAGTAAAAAATAAATAATAATATAAAATATTAACATAACTTAACTGTGATCACACAAACAAAATGACACGAGAAAGACACCAAAGTGGAGGGCAAACAATCATGGGAATGGCAAAAAAGTGAGACCCTACTACACCCAATTTTTGAATAAAAGGGTATCATTTCCCAAGAAGCAAAAGATTCTGTCAGTCTGTCACACAGCTTTCATGGATCCCCACTTTCTGCACTCTTCAGCTTCCCTGCCCCTTACTATCATTCAATCCGGAGATTAGGAAAAACATGAAGAAATGCATGAGAAAAAAAATGCGGGAGTGAAAATCCGGGAAATGATCATCTCCGGATTTCTTCTTTCTAATTCATTAAATTAAGAAATTTGTACTATTGAAAATTGATTCAACGAATGAAGTTATTATAAATTTTAAAATGCATCTCTGTATGTAACCGTTTGATCAAATTTCAATGGTACGGATTCCCTGATTTGGTGAATTAGGAGGAAGGGATCCGAAGAGAATCATTTCCAAAAATCACTACCCGACCAATCAAAAAGCAAGAAAAGGAAAATGCATTTGATTTGACCCCTAGCAATAGAGATATTTTTCAAATTCTAACTACTTGTACTAGTACACTTGGTATATCAAGTTGTGCCTGGCACTAGGGCTGGGCACGGGACGGGCCGGGCCCAAATTTGGAGGGACCGGACCGGACCCATATGAAAACACAATGGGGAGGGTCGGGGCGAGTAATGGGATTTCAAATTTTGGAACCAGACCTAACTTGACCCGTTTGAAACGGGTCGATTTGGGCCGGGTCCACGGGTCCTAGCACAGAAAGGAACGAACTGAAGCCTAAAGCTTGTGTTCCTCAGCAAATAAAAGAAAACCATACCAACGCGTAGATCAAGATCCAAAGTATCAGATAAAACAACAACACATAGATTCCAAACACATCATTCAACCAAATTAAGCATGGGTAATCTATGAATTATTGAAAAAATGGGCTTAAGATCTTCTCTGAGGATAGGTTCTTCGTTGGGATTGAAGAAATGGGTGTGGACAGAGATAGTAGTAGTAGGTGAAACAAGAACCTTGAGCGCTTCTTTGAGGATAGGTTCTTTGTTAGGATTGAAGAAAAACGCCTTAATTCCATTGCCTTTCCCCAAACGCAATTTTCTACAGCTGCTGCTTCGGTGATGTCGGTGGTTTAATAAACCTAGGCAGGCCACTGTTACCCAATTGTCAATTACTCATCAAAATTGATTAGCAGATGAGTAAGAATAGGAAAAAGAAAAGTTCAGGTCGTCATATTATTTGCTCACCAGTGCACACGAAGAAGATTCACAATAAACAGAGACATGTTGACCAACTTGAACTCCTGATGCTGTCTTCTCGTGTTGATGGTTCATAATTCTCGATGCCGATGGACTTATCGTCAGCCATGGCAGTCCAGTCTTGGATCGTGGCGATGAGGTCGTCGACTGAGTCAAGAGTCATGTGTAACTGGGCGAGTCGGACCAGATTGGGTGGTCAACAGCCGAGTTAAGCCTATCGTCTTCTCCGATCTGGAGCTTCTGTGATGTTGACGCAGTCGAGGGGTGGGAGGGAGAAGAGAACAAGAACAGAGAAAAAAGTGGGGGAAATCTGGGAGTGGGGGAAGATGACTGAAAAGGTAAAGCAATTGCTTTGTTATGGTAGAACGGGTCGGTTCGGGGCCCCGACATTCTCAAATTCTGGAACTGCCCCGCCCCTGAAGATACCCTTTCCCCGCCCCGCCCCGCCCCGTTTTGTCTCTACCAAATTTGGCCCCGCCCCGAACCCGCCCCGAATCAACAATACCCGCCCCTACCCGCGGGTCCTGTACCCGTTTGCCCAGCCCTACCCGGCACAACGACTAATTTCTCGTTGCCATAGATTGGCTCATGAAAATTGTCAATTGAGACCTTTAAGGGCAAAGGTCAAAACCTTCAATAGGAGAATCGTTGCTTAAAAGTTAAAACCAGCATTGATTGGATTGTTCTTTATCTCAAATTATCTTTTGCCAAATAAGGATCTTGGAGAAAAACATATACAGAAGACAGAAAACATGAAGTTCTAACTGCAAACAATTTAGAGCTAAATCCATGGATACCATTACGAATGAACTACAACAACATTTGGTTTTCCAACCTACATAACCTCCGCAACTTTGAAATTGCGTTAAACACTTAAACAAATGCGCGAAAGCGCAATCCATGTGACAAGATTAACGCAAATCTCCCACAACCTTGGCATAGAACATATCTCAGCTGCCAGCATTTTCATTCCCTAACATTAGAAAACCCCTTCTTCACAAGACATTATATCTGGTTTTAAAAAAAGTACGCGATATGGTACGCGATCAATCATCACAAGTACAGAATTAGCATTACAAAAATTTTGGAAAGGCGAAACTAGACTTAAGGCGTAACACACTTTGATCATTGGATTAATAAGCAACCATGGAAACTATAAAGAATATACCTCTCATTCTGGTTGCGTTCTATTCATCCATGGCAAGTCTGTGTTAAGAGACGAAGGCATGCCCATCTGTGTATCTGTCGAGCTTGAAAACTTGCCCTTCTTCGACCAGAGCCAGATCTTGGAAACAGAATAGCTTTCACCCTTAGTCACACTGCTGATCTTCTTTCCCTCCATGTCACTATCAATTGAAAGATTACCATTGTTTTCTATCCCTCTTGTTGGCTTTACATTGCGGCCTTGTTGATCATTTGATAAGGGAACCCGAAGTTCTGAATCATTAAGCACATACTGATACGAACCCATTGAAAAACATCTTCTTGCATCCAATCTACTGCTACTACCCTCTCCTCCTCCCGTCTCCCCTACCTCAGCATCTACCTTTCTAAATTTGCCGAGTCTCACAGGCAAGATCCCCTTATCGACAACAATTTCCTCAATGTCCATGGTTTTTTGCCTTGAAGCGAACCTGTTTTCTCCATTACCAGGATACCCTTCTTCTTCTCTATAGTCATCAAAATCAAAAATTGGGTTTTCAACCGAGTACTCGGGATTAAAAAGGGTACTCCTACAAAGAGGACATGTTGAATTTGACAGTAGCCAAGTATCTATACAGTTGATATGGAAAGCATGGTTACACGTAGGGAGCAATCTGAGCTTGTCCTTCTCGGTAAACTCACAAAGGCAAACAGAACAATCGAACGGCTCTTTCGCACCCACAATATCACGATACTGGAAAACAGGAAGAGCGTCGATAAATGCTTGATCTAGACCAGAATCATGAAGGTGGAAGAGCTGCTGCAGCTGTCTCTGAAGAACATCAGCAGTAGACATTTCTGGGTACCGATTAGACTGAGAAGAAGCTGAGGAAGACGGGTGCTTAGTAAGGAATCGAACGAGCAGGTGGAGCAAACCGGAGATGAAAAACAGCACAGCCAGAATCACTATTATAAAAAGCAAAGCAGGACTAATTCTTGAACCGGATGATGACGGTGGTGATGGATTCGAGTTCGATTCACTACGAAAAGTTCCAGCATACGGGGGTGAAGATTGAAGAGAAAAAGGAGGAGGGTAGCTCAAATAACCATCTTTAACCTGGATTTGATGCTGAACCCAAGACATCTTCAAATGAGTGTGCCCAGAAAACCATCTAAGATCTTTCCCCTCTGCCATTCGAGGTATCATATCGCTTTCTGATACAAGTGATATTGGGGAGGGTGAAATCAAACACCGGAGCTCGGGTGCAAGGGCGAATGCTATTAACCAACTACGCTACGAGCTCCTTCCATGTTCATACATATCATTACAACCAATGACCATGCTCTTCTCTCTACTCAGAGATCAATCAAACACAAACCCAATCATTTTTCATGGGATTAACGCCAAATTCAATCACTTTTTGCAGTTCTTCTTCCATCACCACCAGATTTCCATCCCCAACTTTTTTTTTGTTTTTCTGCAGATAAATACCAATATTTTTATCTAACTTGTATTGTCGGTATGTATGCTTTCAATTTTCATAACAAATCGACTGATAACGCAACAGAATCTGACAAAAATAATGCGGAATAAAAAAATGGAGCATACCTAACTTGATTCTTCTGAGGAATCCACCATTTTCATGTAATTTTCAAAAGCTCTGCAGCAAAACGACGCTCTTTGCTGCCCTTCCAAGTTGCAGCAGAGAAGAAGAAACCCTAAAGACTCCGGCCTTTTGATTCCGGTGGTAAGTGTACAGCGGAAAGAAGAGGAAAGTGAAGTTGGGTTTCTCTTTCTCTCTCCAAAAGTGTCACTTTCTCTCTCTAGAGTTCTTGATTGATGGAAGCAGAGAGCGCCAGAAGGGTGACAGTGGCGAGAGTTCCAAAAGTGCCAAAAAGGAAAACTAACGTTTAGCTCCCACGTGCTTAAGGGAGCGCGTGGGGATTGTAGGGTCAACCGTAAGCGACAAAGTGCTTAACCCCGCAACCATGGGCTTCGAGGTGGGCCTGGGCTTGAACTCAAAATGGCTTGTCTGTATTCCGGTGGATTAGGGTGTAGGATAACGAACCAGCCAACCAGGTTCTAGGGCACATCCAAGTGGCTGAGTTTTGTAAAAAATCAAAATATTTTGGTAGCATTAGAGATGTGACAGTGACACCCTACTCCATTTTGAACCTAATTATGTGCGCCATTTCTGGTGATGGATTTAGAAGTAAGTAGGTCAGTTGGTGAAGATAATTTTGTATTTTTTTAATAGATGTTTTGTTATTAATATGTTATTGACACGTGATCGCTATTGTATGATGGTCCCGTCATTTTTTTTCTTTGTTATACAAATGATATTTTGTTTTAAACTAATCTAAATTAAAGAGAGAGAAATTTGAACTCGAGTATAACTAGGATTAAAATTAAAAGGACGTGAGAGAAGTAATTTGGGGTGTGTGAATATAATCTCCCTATTCTATTTTAAACCAATCTCAGTCTAGTGCTATTGTCATTTCAATGTTAAAAGAGTTTAGAAGTGCGATTCTTTTCTCCATGTTGATAAAGAAAACGTGAAGTGTAAGTTATGAGTGCAACTTTACATTCAGCTAATCTGTTACAATTTTTCAACATTTTAGGTTAATGATATTACGTGCATGATGGTTAATTGGGTGTGCCTTTAAAGCATAAAGTTGTGAATGCATACGTTATCTTAAGTTTAAAGGCAATTAGGTAATTAGGTGAGGGTTTTGGATTGCAATCATAATTTAGTTGGAAAATGATAAGAAAGATGACAAAATAATTTAGGGAGTCTTTTGCCTGCAGTTAGGTACATAATCCCAAGGCTAGTCTGGCCAGATGTCTCTCTCTCCCTAGTCAATCTCTTCATCTGTTAGTTGAACAAGTATAATTGCCATTTGATGATGTTTAATTTGCCACGCAAACTATCGGGTACACTGTAGAGAGAATAATAACAATGGCGTGTGCATAAGATCAATTTAGGCGGGTGTATAATCACATTGGTTAAAGAGGATATGCTTCCCTTTATGTGTCCAAGTTCAAATCTTTCTCTATTTATATACTAGCATTTGCTTACACACTTTGGTCTCGTTTGACAGCTCGGACTGTACTGACTATTTCGTTCGGATAAGATAAATAGTCATCGGATAGTACTGACTAAATTAGTCGAACGTTTGATGCAGTATTGGATTAATGACTGTATTATTTATACTGTGTTTGGTACTACAAGAGAAAAAAAATCAACAATTCTATTCAGTAAACCACAACAGAGCAATACTTCAACACCCAATCAACAATTCAACAACCCTAGTCCAAAATTATTCACACATATATGGAGCACAATTCCAGAAGTTCAGCTCCACCCCTAGGTCCCCCAGGTCCCGCACTCGATTACAGTTCTCCAAATGTTGCAGCGGAAATTGGATTGGACAAATAGATAGGAATAAAGAAGTAAAATTTTAATATCATTCAACGAAATTGTTCATAATTTTCGTCATCCAGCCAAAATCAAATTTGGGGAAAGCGAAAAGGGGCTAGGTTTGGGTGGAGAAGGTAGAGAAGAAGAAGAAATTTGCAGGTGGGGTTGGATGGCAAAATTGGGGAAAATGAAAAAGGGCTGGGTTTGGGTGAAGCAGGTAGAGAAGAAGAAGAAATTTGCAGGTGGGGTTGGATGGCAAAATTGGGGAAAATGAAAAGGGTTGGGTTTGGGCGGAACAGATGGAGAAGAAGAAGAAATTTGTAGTAACAAAATTGGGGAAAATGAAAAGGGGTTAGGTTTAGGCAGAACAGATAGAGAAGAAGAAGAAATTTGCAGGTGGGGTTGGATAGAGAAATTGCGGAAAGCGAAGAGGGGTTGGTTTTGGCCGGAGCAGGGAGGGGATGAGGAGGAGGAGAAGAAGACACAGGGCGCGATGCGAGACGGGAAGGAGAGAGCGGAGGAAACAAAACTACCCGACTAATAATACAGAGGATTTTGGGAGGATAATTTAGCAGACGTACACCGTATAAAACGTGTGGGGCCAGTTTAATTAATCAGGGTACTATTTAGTACAAATTTGCATCAAACACCTGCATTCATACTATTTATCCTATCCGGTGTGTTATACGAGCTGCCAAACGAGGCCTTTATGTGTATGAACACATTTTTTTTAGAAAATGAGAAGGAGAGAGGGAGGGGCGGGGGAGAGAGAGAGAGAACGTAAGGGAAGTGAGAGGATTTTGTTTTTGGTTTTGTTTTTTAATTTTAAATATTAGAG